CCTCTCCTCTCCTCTCCTCTCCTCTCCTCTCTTCTCTTCTCTTCTCTTCTCTTCTCTTCTCTTCTCTTCTCTTCTTTCTCTTCTCCTCCCCGCCACTCTCATTTGATAATATACTCTTTTTTACCTTAAAACTTTCACCAGGATTCTTACTCCATTTCTGTTTGGTTTTAAAGTAAAGCATTTAAACCAACTTCTTATATGAGAAAGTTATTTTACAATTCAACAAATGTACTATCTCATGCAAGAGTGTCTCAAATCCAGCAAATCCTGAGAGTCAATCCCTGCCATTTATTAATTTAGAAAATGTTTTAATTTAGCCAAAATGTTTCCTATTTTAACCTAAATTAAGTATAATATCAAGTTTTAATTCATTTCCTTCATGATTTATTTCTCTTGACTAGCATTCCTACTTCATTGCCCCTGATATAACTGGACTCCCGACAATACCTGAGAGTGTAAGCTTTCTGATTTTTACTTTTATTACTCTACTTACCTTACAAAATTTATTCATTTTAATCTTACTGTTTATACAATTCTGTGCAGAGCTATGAGATACATTGTAATTATATTTATAAGAAGAAAATGAAGAGATATAGAATAATACTGTTATCTTTTTCCTCTGCCCCATTATACCTTTCTTTCTTTTTTTTTTTTTTAAGTATAGGGTCTACAGGGTCACACTACACCAGACTCATAGTGGTCTGCCTGTGGTTAGCCTCCCAAGAGCTGGGATTACAGGCACACGCCACCACGCCCAGTCTCAATCCCCATCTCAGCGTGTCCCGTGGGCAGGGCCGGTATGGCATACCAGGGATTGAATCCTGGCTACTGCGCTCTGCCTAAGCAGGCGCTTTAGTCTGCTGAGCTATCTGGCCAGCCCTCCTATTATATCTCTCTTAACACCTGTTGCTGATAAGAAAAATGACATGAGAAATTATTTCTGTCATTTAAAATAGGTAAGGTCATATATATTTAGGTCCTGAGATTCAATCCAAAGTAAAGGAAAAATCAATAGGAAAAAATATTTCCAGGTAACATTTATTTATTGTTTTCCAAATATCTTCTCAAACTTACTGAGTATTTGCTTCCTAAACATACATAGTAATCATTGGAGACCAAAAAGACAAGCACAGATTTTCTAATATCCACCCAAGACTATCAGATAAACATTGTTTAATTAGTACAGATGAATTCTATGACACACTATGTGAAAAGGTCTTTCAGCCAGTTCCTATCAAAAGCTTTTACATTGAATTACTGTAAATGTGAGCCTGAAACAGACCATTGAAACTCTTAGGTTGCCTACTAGACTTGACTGCTGAGCGTTCACTGCTGTGTGATAGAGTAGGGTCCTACTGTCAGGGCTCATTGGCCCTTCGCTTCCATATCTGATGCAGTTTATGTTGTTTTCTTTGCTTCTTTTACATTTACTAACAAAAAAACTGGTAACTTCCTTTGAAAATTATCACATTAAAAAAAACTATTATTGCTTTGAATATTTTATAGAGGCAAACATCCTCATGAAAAGTACCACCAAGAATATACCAGCCCCTTTTTAAATTTGAATTTTAAAGCAGGGTCTTACTAAATTGTTCAGGCTAGGCTCAAACTTGCAATCCTGTTTCCTCAGCCTTATGGAGTGGTGGGATTGTTGGCAGGTGCCACCATGCCCAGTTTGAGAATACAAATGTTTTATTGCTATTAACACATTTTATTGTGCAAAAAGTCCTTTTTCAGGGAAAAAAGAAAGCAAGGACATGCACATACAGCAGTATTCTGTGTTGAGAAATAATTCTTCATGTAAAAATTACCTTCTTTTGAGTGTTAAGGAGCCAATTTAGAACATCCTCATATTATATTTGGCTATAGTGGTATAAAGCAAGCTTGATGTGGGGTGTAAACAAAGGATTTCTTTAATAAAGAAGCAGACCCTGCCTATAAACCGGCCTCGTGGCTTGAGTGCCTTGTATGTAGTATGTATTAGAAGACAATAGTTTTAGCTGTAAAGTGATAGCTAATATGAAGAGACTCAAATACGTTTTCTTGGCTAGCACTCTGTCAGCCATCAGTGTGTAACTATCAGAAGTAGGAGAATTTGCTTAAAAATCAGATTCTTGGAATCATACTCGAAAGACAGTAACACAAAAGGTTTAGGCTGAGGCCCAGGAAATCATTGCTTTTCAAATACTTGGTGTGTTGAGGAGGGTTGGGAAATATTTGCTTCTCTGATTACCCTTCAAGAAACATTTTGTGGAATAGGGTTATATTTCAAAGAATAGTAGAATATTATATGTTTCATGTGGCAGCAGCAGAGTATTAAATTTAATTATTTTAATGAATTATACCTTTGAACCCCTGGTAAATGTATAAAATGTTTTTCTTTGTATTCATCATGAACTGTAACTTACACAGTTATTTTTCACTTGTACAGAGAAATCTTACAGAATATTTTGTTGCTGTGGATGTGAACAATATGCTGCAACTGTACGCTAGTATGCTGCATGAGAGGCGCATCATTATTACTGCTAGCAAATTAAGCACTGTAAGTACTTCACACTTCTGTTAAGTAGCGTGTATTGAGTGTTTCACAAAAAGGCCTAAAAACCTCTGCAGATTCAGAAATGTGTTATGTGTACTCATAAGACAATCTCTACATTTATATATGTGGTTTTAATCTAGCTCTTGAAGTACAAAAGTCTGATTTATAGAAGACCCTCTCAGATGCATTAAGTCAGGTTAATTATTTTTTCTTATCAGAAGATGAGGTTTTTTTTTTTTTTTTAAACTCTCTAGAGTTCATTTTACTCCCTTCTACCATATAAAGAATTCTTAAGAGCTATTATGAGATCTTTATTATTCACTTGTGGCTTTTTCCATTGGAGCCTGTTTGAAAGAAATCAAGGGGCCATGATAATAGCTGCTATCCTAACCTGGTAATAGGTAGATTCATCTTTGTTGCCAAGTCGTGGTTCAGGAGTAGATTCTACAATAGTTCTGATTTGGAGGAGCTCTTCAGACTGATAATAACTTAAAAGTCTAAGTAGCATTTTTTATTAATCTCGGGTTTTATGACACTCATATTCTTTTAGAAGATCTTCACTTGTGTGGTAAAGGCAGTGAGCACAAGGATTTTTCTTGGGTCATTAAAAATTGTTCAAGATATTTTGCTGTATTTCTTAATTTTTTCTCTATGAAGCACAAAAATTTAATATATTCAACTTTAAGTTTTTAAAACAAATTTAAGTAATATTTTGAGTAATCTATGGAATATTAAAAAACATTATGAATATCCCAATTTGCATTTCTACAAATCTGTTTGCTTCTCTATAAATCTGTTTACTTGATGAAAATAAAGTCATATTTTAATATTTTGTTTTCCTATAGTAGAAACATTCATTTTATAACATTATTGAGTAGAAAGAATTTTAAGATTTTTCCTGGATCTCTATTTATTATTTAGTGGTGAGAAATTAGTAATTGGGAGAAGTTAAAGTAGCCTCCCCAAAGCTTATTGTAGGCAGCTAATGTGAAAACTGGTTTTCCTGATTCTATGGTTTGGGTTTTTCCATTACCTTACAATTGAAAAAATACAGTTTTGAGATGTTGAATGGTAATAGATATTGTGTCACATGGTGATGAGCACCAGAGGATAAGGGATAAAGCATGTATTTGTCAGGGTAGAACGCAAGGGGCAGGTTTTTATTTTATGGTAGGTGGTTATAGAAAAATATCTTTCTACTAAGGTAGAATTTAAATAAATCTGAAGAAAGTAAATGAATAAGATATGTAAATGAACTGCTGTATATAGGAAAACAAAGAAAATCTGCAATATGTTCTTAAAAATATTTGTGTATTTTTGGTGTTATTTTATTTCCCTGTCTTAATGAATAGTTAGCCTCTGTTTGATTTTGTTTCTTTACCTATAAAATGATAGGTATTAACCTAACAATCTAATTAGATAACAGTCTAATTTCTTAGGGTTACCAAAAAATTAAGGAAACATACATTTAAATAAGGTACTTAGAATTGTATCTGCATAGGAAATTTTCAGTGTTTATTAACTGCAATTTTGCAATAGTCTAGGTCTGTGGTTTAGACCAAAAACTAACATGCCTAGCCTTTAATTTACTATTTGACTTAAAAAACAAATTTTTAAAAAGCCTGTTACTGTACAGGGAATTGTTTCATATGTTGAAAGTCAAGTAACACCAACAGTTCATGACTATTTATGAAAGTTCTTTGCTAATAGCTTCTAAGTTAACAGCTTTGGCTTGGTTCACTCTCTGTGGAAGAAAGGATGAGAAACTAAACAAACTCAAGTGTACTTTCATGATCTTCTCGTCCTTGTGTAGAGAAAATTACTTACCTATTGTGAGTAATTCTCATATATACTATTTATGTGCTATAAATATGATATATATATATATATATATATATATATATATATATATATGCTAACTGTAAATTCCATGCATAGTAACTTTTAAGGTCAAGGACTTAGTGTCATAACATGAATTAAGGGTATCATATTCTTTTAAAAAGATTTGAATAGAATCTCTGAAACTTCCAAAAAAGAACAATTACCACCACCATGGCCAGTCTAGTACACCATCTCAGTGAGCCCTTGGGGCTGGGCCAAGATGGTGGCCGGTGATCCAACTCCTTGCCCTGTGTCTGCCTAAGCAGGCACTTCAATCTGCTGAGCAATCTGGCCAGCCCTAGCTTTTTATTTTCTTATGAATCATACAGACCTAATAATACAAGTTGTGTTTTATCTCTTAATCATCTGTTACATCTATAGTAAATTTTTAACTGTTATTAAAATATACAGGTTAAAGTATCTTAATGTTTGTGTTTCAGTTATTGGCTTAGGGAATTTATTTTCCTTTGTTATTTACTCTTGCTTCATTTTAAACCTTGCTATGAGTTTTTCATGGCTAAACTAAGGATCCTGTTCTTCAAGTGCCATTTCTAATTTTAAATGATAATTGGTGATCTTTGTATATCAGATTTCCCTCCCATTTCTTAAAGTGTGGCATAGTGTTGGGACTGACCATTACATTTTTTCATGTTTGAGTTTAATGAATTAAGACACTCTCCATTTTGTTTTTATTCTTTGATTTATACCTTATCAAGTACACATGGAATGGTTTCTGGCAATTCTGAACAACAACCTTGATTTTCTGCATGCTGTAGGCAGGCCTTAGATGTTTAGGCCCCAGGTGAGTCTCGGTAGACTAGCAGAACATCATATTAGAGTCTCATACATTCAAAGCAAAAGAATAAATCATGATGTTACAAGATTGTATCAGTTGACTTATTGCTGTTTTGTGACCATAGGTAGGGAGTACTGCTGTTTAAAGCCATGTCATCGGTTCTCAAATCAGTCAGGCATGAAGCCTTGTCATATGCCTCTATAATTGTACCTCACCAGACTTTCTCTAACTAGTCAGCTGGGGCTGTGCATTTTGTCTCAAACACCCAGCTGGCCAGCATCTGACAGGAGCTTTCTCATCATCCTGTCAGTAATATGTTAACTAGAGTGTATCTTTGTAGTCCATAGAAGCAGGTGGAAAGGATGCCTCTCTTTAAAGCAGATGTCTAAATGTTAGCTTCTTTTTTGACCAATATTTAGTTGGTAAATATCACCATCTTAAAGTCTGTAATCACATTAGTTACAGAGATTTGATTGTGTGGTGCATATTATTCTGTAATATTTACAGCAAGTACTATGCTGTGAGTGTTGGAATTGCCTTAATAAACCACAGTCTCTTCCTTTGTTTTAGATGCCCCCAGGCATTTAAGCATATGCTTTTCTCTCCCTTTCTCATTAATTCCATCAAGGGCATTTGCAAAAGGAAATCTTGTGATCCCCAGAAAATCAGCTATTAAAACATAGATTTTATAAGTTTAGGTAGACTAAAGGAGAGTCCAGGGGATTTTAACCTCTCCATCTGGATTGTACATATTCTTGGTTTCTTTGCTAATGGTACCACCTGTATCCAAATTTAATCTGAAATCTGAAGCACAGAGACTTTTTCTGGAGATTAAGAATTGAACAGTTGGTGAGAGAACAAAGAGTACCCAGGCCCATTTCCTAGCTAGGGTTATTAAAATGCTATTTGGACCCTGGTGCTTTTAAGGCTTCAGCAGAGTGGTAGAGTTAAAACTTTTATCATAACCTTTCAGGGTGAGATATTCTAGGAATACTTTTTAGATTTTTAAAATTCTTCCATGGTTCATAGCAACCATTTCTGTCAATTGAATTGTAAATAACAGTGCCAGAACTTGCCAGCATATTAGCTGACATGTATACTGCTATTCTGTACACTGTTTTTTCGTTCAGTGCTAAGTGAATGTGGTTGGATTATGGAAAGGGGGGTGTTCAGATCATGATGAAGTGCTTTATAGGAAGGGATGTGTGTATGTAGCTTAGTTGGAAGAGACCTCTAGGACAGGAAAGCTAGAAATACTTGTCTTCCTTCTCTTCTGAGCTAAAAGCGCTATTCATAGAAATACATTTCTGGTTTATATTAAATTATATAATCTGGCATTTGTCTTCTAAAAACAATCAGTTGGCCTTTAATTAAAAAACAGATTTTTTTGGTAAAACAACTATGGGATTGTACAAGAAGTATTAAAGTATCATTCTATGTTCTGTAAGCATTATTCTTAAAATAGCTAATCACTAGAAGGAGCTTGCATGAGTTTGTTGCTGAAGTGTTTTCTGTATAGAATAATGACTTAATTTTTTGATGTTGGTGATTATTACAATTAATCAAAAGAAAAATTGTATGTATTTGTCTCAGTTACTTTTCTTGTTACTGGGAAAATATACCAACACCCAAAGTTAAAGGGGGATTTTTTTTTTTTTTTTTTTGAGCAGAATATATTTATTGGGGGAAAGAAGGCTCCTGTCCAAGAAAGGGACAGGAGGGGAGCCCAAGCATGTTGTCCCCTTTTTAAAGACTTTTTTTTGTGGTGTATTTAGGACAGGGCTTAAAGGGTCTCACTATGTAGATCAGACTTGTAGTGACTGCCTCTATTCAGCCTCCAAAAAGCTGGATTACAGGTGTGCGCCACCCTGCCCAGTTCAATCACAGTCTCAGTGCACCCCAGGGCAGGGCAGGCATGGCACAATGGGGATTGAACCTCGGCCACTGTGCTGGCATACAGACCTGGTGTGAAACTCTGCAGCTGAAGTCCCTGCAGAGAGGCTAGGGGGCCAGAACCACCGAGCTAATCCAGGAGCAGAACATCTTGCCAGAGGGGCACAACAGGTTCACTTCCAAGGGCTGCAGCAGGAAGAAGCTGAGCACAGCAGCCAGATCCAAGCCAGGCACAACTGGATGAATTCAAACTCTGTAGATCTGCACCCTGTAAGCTGAGACACTTTGCTAGATCCAGATCTATAAGAGCATCTTCCCTCTTTCTCTCTTGACTGAGAGAGGGAGCAAAAAGTAACCAGGGTGAGCTAGTCTGTCTGGAAAACACCAGGTACATCAAGGAGAGGTGATCAGACAGAACTTAATGGAACTAACT